ACCAGAGATATGAAAAATGTGCTCTATATGTGTAATAAAAAATGTAATGCATTCTGCTGTCATGTATAAATTTTTCAAAAAAGACAAAAAAAAACTCTATTTCAGAGATTCATATTCAGATGAATGGCAGAGGAAATGAGGGGTCACCTTGGACAGCCCAAGTCTCTTGACAGGAGTGTGGGGAAGGGACAGAAGCTTAGGTAGACTAAACAGTTTGAAGATAGCACCACAAGGATTAGTCTAGTAGTCTCTTAAAAGAAAACAAGATTATAGAGAAAAAGTAAGCATACAGCAAAGGCTAACATTCAGGAATTCCCAGGGGATGCCCATGTGTAGAAATAATAGGAAAAAATGCATCAGCTCAAGTAGGCATAAACAGAAGGAAGTTACCTCACTATGTTCCCATGATACTCTGCAGAGAGACACCTGGGCTCACACTCTCTGGAAATTTTTTAAAAATTAAATATAGTGTTACAAAAACTCAGAGGTGACTCTTTTTGGTGGATAGTCTCAAGGGACCAATTTTCTAACCACAAGAGCAAACCTAAATGCAGATGGCAGGTCCATATAGGGATATTTTTCATTTAAACTCTCCTTATCCCTTCCCCACTATACTTCCTTGTGCCCCAGGGAGTTACTGTGAAGGGTGAATGAGGAGGTTGTAGATTGGGGTAGTGTAGATCCAATACAAGCCATCACCTAGTCAGGGGTGACACTAGCTGATGTCATTTTCTCCAGAATCTTATCTGGAATGAGAACACTAGAGAAACCACTTCAGAGGGTTCTGGGTTCCCACTCCAGGGCAGTAGATGACAGCTGTGTATGCAGTATGTGTGGATGGGGGGAGGGTTATGGGAACCCCCACTAGGGAGTATTCATGAACCTAAAACTAGACCTAGCATCCCCATGAAAGAATCAAGTTCATCTCTCTAATTATAATAGTGAGGAATAGTTTTCCACTTAAAGGTAGATATTTATCTTAAAGATAAAATGATATTTTTTTCCACACATTGGATAATTGACTTATGTGATTATGGAAATTTGTTAGAGCAATAGGATGTTGGGATGGAAATCTCAGATATTTGAGGTGAGAAAATAGATTATATAGGAAAAGATGAGGGATTACAAATGTAAAGCACTTGCTTTGTCTGAACGGCTTTGATTTGGCTCCCTCAATGGT